ATTTTATATTTTAGTAACAGCACAAGAAATTTATCGTGCATTATTAAATAATAAACATAAACCACGACGAATACTTTGTTTTTTTCGAGAATTAATTGATATTGATGAACTTGATTCAAAATTTCATGACAAGGAAGATAAAATTGAATCAAAACAATTACTTCATGATATTAAAAATTTACTTCAACAATCAGTTGATTCATCAGAAATTTATACATATAAAGTAAATAAAAAATTTATTTTTATATAAATCTATTTTTTTTCAAATAGTTACAATGGAAAAATGAAAATGATCGAAAAAACTATTTATCGAAATTTTTCGATGATTTTTATCAAGCAGTTAAATTACAAATTGATTTTCATATGAAAATATATGAAAATAAACAAGAAAATTTATTATATAATCAGATTATAGAACATGCTATTCAATGTAATTCATTAGTACAACGATTCTTTCCTCGGCCGGAAGTTTTTCAACAAGTAAACTATATTTATCAATAATCATTATCAATATATTATATATAGATTAAAACATATATTACATCATCAACAAATTATCCTTGTGTTTTACTTGGATATTCAGGTACTGGAAAATCATCAATTATGGCAAAACTTGTTAATGAAGTAAGAAAAATCGCGTAGATATATAGGCAAAATTGAAATATGCATATCTCAGGGATGAAGAGTCCTTTCATCCATTTTGAGGGTGTGGGTGTGGGTTTGTGTGGATGTGACTGTGAGTGTGGGTGTCGATAAAAAATGAAGCGACACCCACACCCACACCCACCCATATCTACCCACACCCGCCATGTTAAACATTCCGGAATAAATTTAAAATTTTTAGATTCCAAGTTGGTATTCACAAACGAATAATGTATCTGTTATTGTACGTTTTTTGGGTGCAACTCCATCATCGAGTGATATTCGTCGACCGTTGATATCTATTATTGAACAAATTTGTATGATTTATCATTTAAATATTCCAACAAATTTTGATAATGTTAAAGAAATTTTTGAGAATATTTTATTACGTATACCAAAAGATGAAAATCTTATTCTTCTTCTTGATTCAATTGATCAACTTCAAACTGTTGATTTAATTAATTTATCAAAATGGTTGCCAGAAAAATTTCCATCATCATCATCGAATGTTAAATGTATATTTTCAACAATTTCTGATATTGAAGTTGGAATGGAAAGAAAAAAAATTGATATTTATAAACAATTACAAACTATTTATAAAGATGGTTTGCAAGAAATAGAAATAAAATCGTTTGATGAAAATATTGCCGAAGAAGTATTATATTCTTGGCTTAAACAAGATCGACGTTGTTTAACAACTATACAACATGAATGGCTTAAACCAAAATTTACTCGACGACATCAAATTGATCCACTTTTTCTTTCACTTCTATATGATCAAACATTAACATGGCATTCATATGATGAAATTCCTGATAAAACATTTTTATCTATAGAATATACAGGTGATGCAATTGAATATTTATATGATCAATTAGGTATGAAACATGGTCCAATTTTATTTCGACGTTCAATGCATTATCTTCAATTATCTGGCGGTTTAAGTGAAGTCGAAATTGAAGATATTCTTTCATTAGATGATGAAATTTTACAATCAGTTTTTATTCATTATTTACCACCATTAGAATTATTTCGATTACCATCAAATTTATGGATTCGTATTCGAAATGATATGCATAAATATTTAGTAGAAAAAGATATTGACAATGTTCCTTGTGTTTATTTGTAAGTTAAGAAGAAAAAAAGAAGTTCTTTTTTCTAAAATCTAAGATTTTCTCGTATAATACTTGATGAGCATAACTAACTTAGAATGACCCATATTATTCTAGGACACGATTTTTCTCTTTCCCGTAAAGAAAAGACTGCTTGGGTGCCCGCACTTCACTGATGGGTTTCAATAAACTTTTACCGAAGGGTAATCGAGGTCGAAAAACACGAATCCGATGTTAGTTTTTAAAATCATTTTATAGACGAAGAGCAGTCTTTAGTTTTATTAGAAATGGTCAAGTTAAGTGAGCTCCAAATTTGAAGTTTTTCGACAAATTGTAGCTTGTAACTGTGTGCTTCTTTTGCTTGAGCATCACCAGTCGACTCAGCACAGTACAAAGTATCTATCAGAGCAATCAAAAACAGACGGTTACAGTTTTCAGACAGAGCTTTTCCCAATAAATTAAACATCCGTAAACCCCAAATTTGGCGCACACTTAACTTGACCATTAGAAATACCGCGTTACTTGTATTCAAAATTTTGTTGACGAGAACGTTCTGGTTAGAATAGAAAATATATGACACATATGATGGATTTTTTTGTGTTATAACTGATATTGAATTTGTTTTAGTTATCATCGAGCTTTTCAACAGCATGAGCCATGGAAAGGTGAACAAGGAATGAAGTATCGTAGAGACAAAGCCATATTAGAAAAAATCCGTCTTGAATATTTTGCTAATCAATATAAAACAACATTTGATATGAGTTATTCATCAAAATTAATGACAAAATACGAATTTTCAGAACCAATAATTCCAGTTAATCGTTGTTTAACTCAACAACAATCTTTCGAAGATAAATCGAAGAAACAATATAATCTTCGACGTTTTCATCAATTATATATTAATATAGCTCGTTATGATTATGTTCATCATGTAACTTTATTTAATCTAGATTTTCTCTCAGTATTACTTCTTTGCGGGGAATACAAAATAACTGATTTCTTATATGAATTCACAATGATGAATTATGATGGAATTGGTGAATCGAAATTTCTTTTAAAACAATTTGAAATATCATTAAATATATTAAATCAATATCCAAATAATCTTTCATTTGAATTAGTTTATCGTTTATTTCCATTTCGAAATCATTTATATGAATTATTATATAAATTACTTGAACAATGTTTAATCGATTGTCCACTTTTATTAATTACAGATGATGAACGACCACAATATTTAATGAAATGTTCATTATCAAATATAATCTATTCGAAAATTTCACCATTTTCTTTATTTATCATAACTGATGATAGTAAATTTTATCGATTGAATAATTATTATAGAACAACAGTGAATCAATTTGATATTGTATACAAAAGAAAAGTAAGACAAGAAAAATTAATATCGGGTTTACATGATAATGGATATATATGTTGTCTTACATCGAATTATGAAATGATATCAATGAATACTTCAACAAAAGAATTAATTATGCAAATTCCATGTAATCATTTAATTGCATTTATTAAAAAAGAAATAATTTTTATTATTTCATCATCGAATCATAGTTTACAAATATGGAATTGTGCACAGAATAGTTTATTATCAGAATATGATTGTAATAATGATATTATTGAAGATTATATTTATAAAAAATCAATTTTAAAAGTAAATTTAAAATTAAGTCAAACTATATGTTATTTTTCAATTGATAATAATTGTCAAATTCAATTAATTCGAACTATTAATAAACATATGAATAATTATCAACATCGTATTCTTCTTGATATATATGTCGAATTTTATTATTCATTAAATAGTTCAAAGGCTTCATTAGTTATCTATGATGATAATAATCCAATTGAAATTTATAATGAAATTGATTTTCTTTCTCTACCAAAATCTGTTATTTATCTTTCAAATAGTAATTCAATTGCATGGTTAACAGATACATCTGTAATGATATTTAATCCATTATATAAAGAGAAGATTTTTCAACCATTTTCTCTCATTCCATCGGCTGATACAATTCAATATGATTTAATTCATGATAATTATAGTTCTGTGGCTTTCAGTGGTGGCTTAGGAAATCTTCTAGGTTAGTTTTATTTTATCTAAATATAAATCTTAGCTTTGGTTTTCATTGAAATGAATTGATTTAGTTAAACCAAATAGAATGAATGAAAAAATCTAAAGACATCATTTCATAACGCATTACGACTATGTTAGACAACTCTTGGTAATAATATATTACCAGGAGGGCTTACTGTCTCTTCGCCAACTATAATAAGACAAGATCAGTGTAAAATGCATGGGACAGAATAATCTAATATTATCAGAATAAGTATATTATAGTCTAAACTCCTCAATTTAGTTACCAGAAGAATGTGCTCAATTGCCTAGAATTTCTTCGGAGGGTAGAACTCAGTAAAGTATGAAAAACTTAAAGAATAAATATCCCCTTGGATTTTTTCAATATAAATAAGAAAGAAAGACGTTAACTCATATAAAATCTAATACATTTCGATTTCACATCAGAGATGCCTATGGCGGAGCTGCTGCGGTGATGACGGCACTTAATTTCTCTTTACCATCGCAGCGCAGAACGGCAGCGGCTGATTTTAAACTGCATGGTTATCTCTGCTTAGCATTTTTATCTTTAAAATATAGAATCATTTATTTTTTTTCTAGCTTGTATTATTAAAGCAAAAGGTATTGTTGATATTTACGACTGGTATTATAACAAAAAAGAACAAAAACATGTTTCTCATCATTTAACTCATGTTCAACTGGATATCAATATTGATTGTTGTGTTTTCGATGCAGGTATGTCATTTAACATGAAAAAATATTTTTTTTGCTTATCGTATAATAAAGAACATCCCGATGGTATTACATTGTATTGCTCTGATGGAAAATATCTTTATAAATATAATGCTACAATGTTATCTTGTCTTACTGCGTCTAAACATTTGGTTTCATCCGAAACAGTTCTTCAAAAACCAAGTATACATTTAGATCAATTTTTAACATATATAGATAACGATCAGTAAGTGAAAATGATATTTAATATTATTTTAAAATGAATTCATTTTTTTTTTGAAGGAATTTAAAAGTTTTTACATTAAATGATAATTATAAACTTGATTTTCATCTTTCAATTCAATCAATTAAACAATATTATTTTACTAAAAACTCATCACATATTTTAGTTATTAATAGAAAAAATCTTTTATCGATTTATTCATTAGAAACATCGAAATTACTATGGACAACAAACGAATTCGAACATCGAAAACTACAAATTCATTCACTTCAATCATCATTTATTCTCCTATGTCCACAAACAAAACAAATTTTTCAAATCGATACAAAATTATTTCAAATAAAAATTCTTATTCAATTACCTATTGATTGTCTTACAAGTACACTTATTTCAGAAGATCGATTAATTATTTTATCAAAAGATCAAACAAATTTAATAGAATTTAATTTAATTAATCGAACGTTAACAATTCAATCATCGATTCAATTAAATTCAAGTAAAATCATTCAAATGTATTCAGTATATGATCATCTTGTTTTTCATACCTATGACAATCAAATTTATCTCTGGCAAAAAGACAATAAAGGATTAAAACAATTAGAAGAAACTTCTCGTTTAATAACCAAAGATAATCAACTTGTTCTTGTGTGTACAGATAATAAGAGAATCATTTTATATGATTTTAAAGTAAAATCACGCCAAATTGCTCACTTGGATGATGATGCAGGTGAATGTGAAGTACTTTGTTTAAGTAATATTAATAAAAATGATAATGAACAATATCTTTTTATTATTTGTTCTGATCGATTGTTACGAATGTATCGTGTTTCAAATGGTGAACAAGTTGTGAAATTATTTATTAATAAAGATTTATATCCATTCATTGGAATTTTAAATGATCATTTATTACTTAAAGTTGAGAATCGTTTATGTATTATTAAAATTATCGATCGAAAATCATTACCATCAAGGTAAAACTTATTTTTTTAAAGAAAAAAAATTATAATTTTAAATAAATTATTTTAGATCATCTGATGTCAAATGTTCTCTTTTCGAAAAAAAGGATTGGTTACAGTGTCATCATTTTCTTTTTCCTTGATTAAAATTTTTTTTATATTTTTAACGAGTTTTCTAAAGATTTATTTGAAATAAAATTTTCTTTCCTATAGAATCATATCTCATCGGATTAGATAGACTAAAACAGCGATTGAATGAATGTAGATAGTTACCAGCTTTCAAGTTCGAAAATTCTAATTGTTAATTCTTTTAATATATACATTTTCATTAAATTTGTCATTTCACTGCATTTCATTCTTTTCTTTACTAGTGATTCTAAGAGATGAAGTGTATTGGAAGATGTGAGTGGTGTGATGAGAATGATGGTAAAGAAGGAAGTCACTGACACATCCTTTTAAACATAGTTCGATGTAAATATAAATTACGATAAATCAAATCAATAAAAAAGTTTTTTCTGTTATATGTTTGGTATATAAGATCATATGTAAGTTTTATTATTGATTTTTAAGAAACGAAATCGTGCAAATGAGTTAACTTTTTTTATTATTTCATCCCATTTTGAAATGTGCTAATCGACGAAATAAATCAACAATCATTTCAATGTATTCTAATGTATAATTCTTACAAAAATCGAAAATCTCAATTCCATCAATCTTCGATAAGTGTTGGAAGTATCACAAGAAAATGATATAGATCAAAATGTAAATTTGATGAATGGGTGTAAGTGGAGCGAAGGTCAAGAGAGGATACAAAACCTCATCTTCAAATCTATACAATTGCACACACTCATCCTAGTGTTTGCTAATGACTTAATGAAGATAAAAAAGCAAATCTTGAGGATAAATATATTTAATAAAATACTAATATATTGAATGGATCTACTGTTATAGTAAGTCACTGTTCGACTTCGAGTGAAAGAAAGTTGAATTCTTATATTGAAATTTGGCATTTGTATTGCATATATATATTCAATTTGAATCGTTATTCTAAAATAATATCGAATAAATGAAAAGTTTTACTCTGCTTTTTGATTCTTAAAATAATTTCAAAACTAAAGAAATAGAATATTGCATTATCTTCAATTTGGTATAATTAATTTGTTCAACTTCATTTTATATTATTTTTCCGATCAACCTGAAAAGTTTTAGTTTAATGGGAGATTTTTTACTATCTTGAGTATGTGGATGTCATTTGATTAATTCTGATCCATTCATATTGTCAAAGCAAATAAAGTAATTTGTATTTTGTTTGACAAAATCAAGTAAATGTCTGAGGAATAAGGAACAAAATAGGTGTGTCCTTTAACAATACTAAGACGTCCATAGTATTCATTTTTCACTTGTTCATATATATAGTCAGAACACATCCACACCCACCCCTCTTTAAAAACTAATGCATCTGTAGAAATATTACAATTAGTCGATTATAGTGATATAGAGGTATATTCACATGGTGATAATGAATCTAATAAGAAATGGAAGCTTGTTGAAAACGAAGTTTATTGATAATAAATTGTAAGAGTTATGAATACCTTTTAGTGTTGTAGATGGGTGTGTGTGTGGGTAAGAGACATCAAATATACTCACGCCCACCCTCACAGAGTCTATTATCGGAAAATATGTACAAATAGATTTTATGACAATACAGAGAAAAAAATGACTCATACTGAATGAGTAATCGGTAGTTTTTTTTCATTTGTAATCTGAAAGAGTAACAAAAAAAATAAAAAGATGGTTGTCAATGAAACAGTTTTTGAATAATGATATTGTAAAGAATATGAAGAAATAGCAAAAAAAGCAATCTTAAACATTAACAGTTGACGGTCTTTCTTTCATTTTTATCGCATTCTATCAACTCTCTTCTAATAAAACATGGATGATGAAAATGAAGAGAAAAAATGCAGAGGCGAAAAAAAAAGAAAGAAATAGCATTTGTTTGGAGCCAAACGAAGCGAGTACCATGTTCATAGAAGGAATGATGATTAAAACAATGTAGTTAAGTGTATATGTGATGAATGATGTTCATGACAAATGGCAACTTCACTTAAGAAAACAATTATTATAGGATATCAATATTTTTTTAGCTGAAATTTTTATAGTTAGAATACGTATTACTGTATATAGTTTTTCGAGTGAATTCATAAATTATAACTCAAGAAAACATATTAATGATCGAAAGATTGTATTTTCTTATAGAAAACAATGTTATATGCTCTCAATAAAAAACTAGTCTTGTTATTCTATTTCAATATATTTCATTAAAGAAGATAATGGGGTTACATTAATATACAAGAGAAAAGTATTTAATTACAGTGGTTTTTATGTGAAAAATACCATAAATAAGATTATATTGGATGTGATCGACAAAACGAATGAAAGATAATAGAATTTATGTTTATCTCTGTTGTTGGCAACGCCTACGTTTAATCTATGTAAAATGAGCAGAAGCAATTTTTTCTCATCGGACAAATGTGTTTATTGAGCATATAGAAGACGTCATTTGTTGATATCATGACTTTTTTTTCTCACTTTCCTGATATTCGATAAATATGTTAAAAGGACAGTTTAATTAAAAACAGAGTAATTTGAAGCAGAATATAACTATTTATAGTTTTTTCTTTTGTTAATATCTCAATGGTAACGAATTCAATCCTCTTAATAGTTAAAGAAACAACAATAACAGAGTGTAGTTATGGATGTATCCCTTTTGTTAGAAAAAAACTCGTTACAAAATGTATGGCGCTTTTTTCGGGGAATGAGTAATTGTTAAATTAGAGAGAAAGAGTGTTGTAGAAAACAGAAGACAAAAGCGGGGAATAAGAGTTAGTCAAACATGTATGAAGTATTTTAGAAAGTAAAGGAGTACAACATGTTTTGGCTAATATTTATTTTATCGTTATTTCCTGTTTGTAATTCTATTCTTATAGCTAAGATACAGGATTATATAATAGTTGGTAATATGTATAAGAATTTATTCAATGCGACACAAAATCAATGTGTATGTGAAATGATAAAAGTAAATGATTCAATATCTGCTTTAAATTATTTTTCAACAAATCAAACTTGTCAATTATTTCGTTCAAATATTAGTACAATTTATATTAAACTTAATTTAAATTCTACTATTATATTTCTTAATCAATCGTCAATAACAATATTAAATATTCTAGAATATCGTAAGTTTTCATTTCGTAATACTGCAAAAATATCATAGCTAATTATAGATCCAAATTTCAATAATTTGAATGAATTTGATGTTTATACTTATTAAATTCTAAAAAGATTTGTCCCTCTTATCAGTGATTTTTTCCTCTGACTGTGATTTGTAATGCTCGCTAATTATGAGTATCTGTCCTCAGAATAGAGTCATTCACAAAGAATGAACTAGATTAGTGGATCATGAAGTGCTAGATTCTTAGCAAAGCCTTATGCAACTTTCTTGTCTCATATTAATCCCATTTTTTCGAAACAGAACCGAGTACGTCATCATCATCAACTTCAACATCAACAACATCATCATCATCATCAACAACATCATCATCATCATCATCAACATCATCATCATCATCAACTTCAACAACCACAACAACAACAACAACGTCGTCAACAACAATTCGTGAGTGTTGGACTGAATACCGAGTACTTACATCAGTTGTCGAAAAGAGAAATAGTTTCATCAGATTTAAAAATTTAGTGCTTGATGCTTCGAATCATCTCAAACTCGAATAAATAAGGCTAGTTTGTTGAACGGAAAACTTCTCAAGATGAAAAAATGATATTTCTACACAGGCAAGCTAGTATTTGTGTACAACGATGAAGTGGGTGTGTGGGTGTGAGTATTATAGTCATCACACTAGACAAATAATGAAGAATGAAACAAATGCATTGACTGAGCACACATTCGAAAGTGAAACTTACAGACTTTCAATTAATTGATTCTATTTTTTTTAATATTAACTAAGAATTTGTATCAGAGAGCTATAGAATGTAACAAATTATTATTTCAGTTAGACTTGAGGGTATCAAAACTTGTTCAATAAAAGGTTACACGATTCTTTTCATCGACTTAGTGCTAACCGAGGCAACGTTATATAAATCCTATACAATTCAACGATAAGTTTTTTGTCGACACGTCATTGAAGATGCTAAAAATAGTTTTTGTTTTTAATAGCCTGCAACTATTTTCTTAATCAAACTACTTACCCGGTTGGGACTAATCCATGGTCAGTAGCAGTCGTCGATGTGAATAGTGACAATAAACCTGATATTATTGTTGCAAACTCTGCGTCGGGCAAAGTCGGTGTTCTTCTCAACGCCGGCAACGGCATCTTTAGTGCTCAAACTGCTTACGCAGTTGGCAATAGTCCTCACGCAGTAGCAGTCGTCGATGTGAATAACGATAATCAATCCGATATTATCGTTGCAAATTATGGTTCGAACACCGTTAGCGTTCTTCGCAACGCAGGCAATGGCACCTTTAGTGCTCAAACTACTTATCTAGTTGGCTCAAGTCCATACTCAGTAGCAGTCGTCGATGTGAATGGCGACAATAAACCTGATATTATTGTTGCAAACGAGGGTTCGAGCAGCGTAGGTGTTCTTCTCAACGCAGGCAACGGCACCTTTAGTGCTCAAACTATTTACGCAGTTGGCTATTATCCATGGTCAGTAGCAGTCGTCGATGTGAATAGTGACAATAAACCTGATATTATTTTTGCAAACTATGGTTCGAGTAGCGTAGGTGTTCTTCTCAATACAGGCAACGGCACCTTTAGTGCTCAAACTAATTACTCAGTTGGTTCTTATCCATACTCAGTAGCAGTCGTCGACGTGAATCAAGACAATAAACCTGATATTATTGTTACAAACGAAGGTTCGAACAACGTTGGTGTTCTTCTCAATGCAGGCAATGGCACCTTTAATGCTCAAACTACTTATCTAGTTGGCTCAAGTCCATACTCAGTAGCAGTCGTCGATGTGAATGACGACAATAAACCTGATATTATTGTTACAAACGAGGGTTCGAGCAGCGTAGGTGTTCTTCTCAACGCAGGCAACGGCACCTTTAGTGCTCAAACTATTTACGCAGTTGGCAATGGTCCTCAAGCAGTAGCAGTCGTCGACGTGAATCAAGACAATAAACCCGATATTATTGTTGCAAACGAAGTTTCGAGCACTGTTAGTGTTCTCTTGCATTGTTAAAGCTTATCGATGATTGGCCTCTATTTATTCATTAGCATTTGACTACTCTATTAAAACATTACGCTTATAAAACATTTTATAATACGAACTGCTATTAACGTTCGCTCGATATAAAAAATTTCAATAAAACTTTGCGACTATGGATATTAATGACAAATACATTAGTATGCATATATTGGACAATAATTCATTATTCAATATTAACATTTCTAGTTATGGAACTTTTCTGGATGCATAGAACTATATGTATTGCAATTACTCAAAGTTCAAAACATTAGTTTTGAATGTGTAAAACAATATAGAAAAGTTGCATAGGCTTCATCGTGTTTTTCTGATCTCTTCAAAACAAGATCATTCGTTTTCAGCAATCAATAAAATTCTACCTTTCAAAATAAATAAACTACTACTGATTCTAAGAGATGAAATGTATTCGAAGATGTGAGTGGTGTGATGAAAATGATGGTAAAGAAGAAAGTCACTATCACATCCTTCTAGACATAGTTTAATGAAAAGTCATATGAAATATTCAAGATAAATTCGAGTATCTATTCGAAAGTAACCAATATCTTTTAGTCAACTAGATTTACTATGAATAGAAATAGAAATTACGATAAATCAAATTAATAAAAAAGTTTTTTCTGTTATATGTTTGGTATATAAGATAATATGTAAGATTTATTATTGGTTTTTAAGAAACGAAATCGTGCAAATGAGTTGACTTTTTTTGTTATTTCATCCCATTTTGAAATGTGCTAATCGACGAAATAAATCAACAATCGTTTCTATGAATTCTAATACACAATTCTTACGAAAATCGAAAATCTCAATTCCATCAATCTTCGATAAGTGTTGGAAACATCACAAGAAAATGATATAGATCAAAATGTAAATTTGATGAATGGGTGTAAGTGGGGTACAGGCTAAAAGAAGATTCAAAACCTCATCTTCAAATCTATACAATTGCACACACTCATCCTAGCGTTTTTTTAATGACTCAATGAAGAAAAAATAACGAATCTTGAGAATAAATATATTTAATAAAATACTAATATATTGAATGGATCTACTGTTATAGTAAGTTACTGTTCGACTTCAAGTGAAAGAAAGTTGAATTACTATAGTGAGATTTGACATTTATATTGTATTTATATATTAAATTTGAATCGTTATTCTAAAATAATATCGAATAAATGAATAGTTTTATTCTACTTTTTGATTCCTAAAATAATTTCGAAACTAAACAAACAGAATATTGTATTATCTTCAATTTGGTATAATTAATTTGTCCAACTTCATTTTATATTATTTTTACGATCAACCTGACAAGTTTTAGCTTAACGGAATATTTTTTACTATCTTGTGGATGTGGATGTCATTTGGTTAATTCTGACTCATTCACACCCTGAAAGCCAATGAAATAATTTGTAATTTTTTGACAAAATCAAGTAAATAGTCTGAGGAATAACGAACAAAATAGGTGTGTCCTTTAAGAATACTAAGACGTCCATAGTATTCATCTATCACTTTCTCATATATAGTCAGAACACATCCACACCCACCATCTTTAAAAACTAATTCATCTGTAGAAATATTACAATTAGTCAATAATAGTGATATCGAGGTATATTCATGTAGTGATAATGAATCTAATAAGAAATGAAAGCTTGTAAGAATATGTGAATTAAAAGTTATTTATTTTGGCAGAAATAAATAACATAATCAATTTTATCAAAAGTCTAATGTTCGTATCAAGTCTCCTAAGAATAATCTCAAACGAGAAAACTAATAAAACTAAACTTTTGAATAGAAATCATATCCATCAATACTATACAAATTCCTATTTTATCAAAAATTGGTAATCAGAGATCAGATTTGTAATTAAAAAAAACATCTTTGTTGTTTTGGTTTTGACAGAAATTATTTATAGATCATATGAAGGTGGTTGTCTCCTACATAGTCACCCGCGTGTTTCCCATAAATCAGTGATGGATTAGATGTAATGCCTGTTAAAAACTTCATCTTATATGATTAATGAAAGTATTCAACGAATACTTTATTTTTATTAAGATTAAAAGATTACAATATCAAAAATGCAGTGTCATAAAAGCTTTCTATTGAAATGCTTTGGCGTTTTCTTTTAGCCAGTCTTCGAGTGTACGTAATGGTCGACCAATAATAAGAGCTATTTCTGGAGTAGCATTGCCACAGATGTCTTTTGAAGCTATCATTGCAAAATTGTATACCAATGAATGAGGCATGCTGTGACTAGTACATGTCTGGTAAAAGTCTTTCATTGATTGTTGTTCATATTTGATCGATTTACCTAGTACTTTGGAAAAAACAGCTGCTCGTTGTTCATTAGTTAATTTATCAGCACCCAGTTCGTAGACATTACGATCATGTTTCTCTACTGATTCACTCAAAACAACTGCAGCACAGTCAGCGATATCTATGAAGAAAAAAAAAGAAAATATATAAATATCTATCATTGTTAAATATCAGATGATATTAAAAACTGTTTTGAAATTTGTTAAATTCCCGTTCTTTCTAGTTACCTTTTGTATCAATCCACGTTGATGTCGATGAAGGTGGTGCACAAGCGACAATTTTATTTTTGTGCTTGATTTGATGAACATCAGCCATAAAATGATTGGTCATGAACGCTCCAGGACGAAGTACAACAAGTGAACGTTGCTCAGGATTTTCATCAGCAAGTGTCCATAGTTTTTCTTCAGCTGCTGTATGCGCATATCCAATGATACCTTTTTTACCATAACTACTAACAAAAGCTGATGAGAGATCAACAATTTGACGAACACCTTGTTCGAAAGCGATTCTGCCAAAAGATTCTTTGATTTGACTCATCGACCATGGTTTAGAATCATGGACAGCATAAAGAAGGAAGAGCCGAGTATGTCCTTTAATTGCTTTTGTGAATACATCAATAGATGAAAAACTACCAATAACCAACTTGAGATGACCAGTAGTGAGCTCTTTTTTAAACAGATCTTTGGATTTCTGTTCATCTCGTACATAGGCTGTTGTATCGATTCCTTGTTTAACAAGACTACGCACAATACCAGTACCAATATTTCCAGTAGCTGCAGTGACAAACACACGTTCTTTGGTTGATGACATGTTGTAAAATAGAATGAGAGAAATAATATTTTGTATGTGCTTTTATAGTAAAAAAATGTGCGATGTGCAAAGGAAAGAGTACGACGCACATAACTAAAGTACGATGAGCAGTCATCCTATTCCGCAATGTTGAACATTTCAGGAACCAGTTC